TTAGAAAAAGAAGACTATCACAACATTTTTACTAATAAAAAAGATAATCTAAAATATATTAAAATACTTGGATTCTAAATTAATTAATTCCAATTTAAAACACATATCTTTAAGCCGTTAGATAAGCATCAGTTAGAATATGCTTTGTTTACATCACAAAATGGTCGATTCAGATCGAAGTAACTTGACTCCTCTTCTCACTCGCGAAAGGGATCAAACTCGCCCCCACCGCCACCGCCACCATACTTTTGCCTCTTTCGCAGCGTCGATCTCTTCGCGAACAAGCGAGGCCCCGAGAACCAAGCCCGCGCAGCCTCGGTCGCCCACACATACCCCCGCCCGCGCTCAATCTCCTCCCAGCTGATAAACAAATCCACACCCATCCGGAACTCGCTCAATCCATCGCTGATCCCCACGAACTTCACCCCGCGCTGCTCCCTGGCCAGCCGGATGAAATCCCCGAACCGGCACGAATCGCTCACCAGCACGATGCACGCAATGTTGAGCCAGGCCGCCTGCCAGAGATGGTTGATCACGGCCGACTCCTGGGCGGTGAGGAAGAGATGGCGAAGTGGCTTCTCGGTCACCAGCCTGACGAGAAATCCCGCCCTCGTGAGAGCGCTGCAAAGCTCATCGCTGACGACCAGCTTGGGCATGACGATCTCTCGGAGCGCCGCTCGGTATCGCTGCTCCTTGTCCGCCATCGCCAGAGCGTACTCGTCCCGCCGCTGCCCGCGATGGATCCGGTTGAGCTTGTGGACGCGCTTGGCCCTCTCCGGGGCGTGGATCTGCTTAAAGTGCTTGTAGAGCGAGTGGTGGCTGCTTAGCGTTCTCCCGCAGTAGCCACACTTGTAGACGTAGTCCTCGGCGCTCTGATGGGGGACGTCCTGGTACCACACCGGCTTGAGCTGTGATGCCATGAATTTCTCCTCGTAATACGTCCTGGGCCGGGCATCGGTCACTGGAATCCGGGGCTCCGCGTAGGCCGATCGATCCACCACGAAGCCGAATGCGTCGGCGAGATCCCTGACCCGGAGCGCCGCTACTTGTGGATCCATCGACACCGGCGGCTTGCTCGTCGTAATATCCCACACGATCACTACCCTACGCCCTTGTTCTTCCTGTTCCTGCGCTTCCTCCTCGTCGTCCTCTGTGAAGCCTGTGTGATCGACGCCGCGATCTTCGTCGGAGGAGTCGATGGTGTGGAGATTGCGCTTACCCTGCGCCAGGCGCCGGCATTTGGAGAGGAGAGCTCGCCCGCCATAGCCCAATCGAGACACCAGCATTTTTAGGGTTCTAACGGTGAATATTCCAGTGGCCGGTTGAAAGATGCGAATAATCACGGGGGGTTTAGGGGATATTCGTGCGAACGGTTGAGTTTGAAAGCTAGTGAAGCTTTGGATTTCTTACCTGGCAATCATTGTGACAATGAGTGGGGTTAAAAACTTTCTAGAGGGAATTGGCGGGAGTACAAATACGAGAGGACGAGAGATTTCTAGGCTTTACTCACATTTCTCTTTTTAGTTCTCTTTCTCTCATTGTTCTTGGAGTTCTTGGGAGAGCGCTCGTTTGAGCGCTCGAAATATTTCCACTGTCCTCTCCATCGATCGATCGCCAAGGCGATGGCCGAGGAATCTGACGCGAGCAAGCTGTACAAGACGGAGCTGTGCCGATCGTGGGAGGAGACGGGCTCCTGTCGCTACGGCAACAAGTGCCAGTTTGCTCACGGCAAGGAAGATCTCCGGCCAGTCAATCGGCATCCGAAATACAAGACCGAGGTAGAAATCTCGCTCTCCTCGATCTCCTCTCTCACAGATATTTCGTTGATCGATCGATAATCTTTCAAATCCAGGTTTGCAGGACATTCTCCGCGGCTGGAACCTGTCCCTACGGCAAGCGCTGCCGATTCATCCACGCCACGCCTAAGCTGTCCGACGTCAAGCTCCCCCCTCTCGTCGCGCCGGCGATGAATCTCACCAAGCTCCTCCTCCACGACAACGCGGCCGCCATGGCTCCAAGATCCAGGCTGCCGGTGTTCCGCGAGATCTGCCTCTGATCAGCATTGCGAGATCGCAGCTCCTCCCACACGACGATGCGGCAATCGATCCGAAGCTCTCTCTCGGCGGCATCCATTCTTTAGAATAAAACTAGAATATACTCGCTTCTTTGTTCTTTGTTGTCTGTGTGACCTAATTCTTCGTTCTAGGCGATGGAAGGCTTGGCGCTGGCTCTCGACTCCTCATCGAGCAACGCCTTGCATTCCGCCGCGCTCTTAAGCGCTTCATCGGTAGCTGGGATCGCGTCTCTGTTTCCCAGGTAAGAAACCTTCCATCGATACTTCTAGGGAAATGCCCTTCCAGATTTCAATGCCGGGTTGCGTGATCTGACGCTTGTCCAGGAACTGGGCGTTCTGCGATGCCAAAGTCGACTCGTCCGAGGACGACTGGCTGGGGAGATGGATGCCTACGTATGGAACCGAGGAGAGCAAGCGATATGCGTTCAAGACTTACGACATCGAGCTCAAGCCGCTCTTCTCGGCGTTCCGGCCGAAAGCTCTCGGCACCACTGGGTTGCGAGCGCTGCTCGTGAATTTCCTCCCGCTGCTCGAGGCGTACATGAAGGTCGAGGAGGACGAGGACGACGAAGAGGATCGTCCCACGGAGACTTCTCCGGATTTCAGGCTGGCTTTCAAGCGCTCGGGGACTCACGCTTTCCGCGAGGTAAACTATCTTCTTTCTTTTTCTTTGCCTGAGAGCTTATGTTTTTCTTTTCCTGTTGTTGTTCTCTAAGCACAGGTTTCTGTAATCACTGTGAGGCGAGTTTTGGAGCGCATTGTTGAGCAAGTCGTCTCCGCCCGGACTGCTTGGAAGCTTTTAAAAGGTTTGCGTCTGAGCTTCTTTGCTCTCGTTCTAACCCGTTTTTATCTTGCAGACGTTCCAAAGTCTGCCGTGAGAAAGGCCAGAAGACACATCACGAAGATCGAATTATTCACGGGTGTCGCGAAAACAACCTTCCGAGGTTTAGACACAGTTTTTCTAAGCAGCTGCGATTTTACTTTGGTCTTCTTTTTTCTTAGCGCATGCTCTCGGAGTTGGAGCGAGTTGCCTGGTCCAAGAAGTTCTTGATATTTACAGATCCGGGAGAGTTATCTACATTCACAGGCAAAACCCGGGCCGCGCCAAAGGGAACAAGAAAGAGATAGACGTCCTCCACAGCTTGGCACGAAGAACAGCTGGGAACTCCTTAAAGGCAGTGGCATCGCTAACGTGTGCATCGATTGGAGCCGGGTGTGGGGCTGTGCTAATAAAGCCTTCCACGGGGACATGGATTGGTGAGTGCTTCCTTTTCTTCGCTTCCAGCTACATTCCTTTCGTTGTGCGTGTTCGACCAGGTCTGGCCGTTGGCGACTTAGCCGGAGCATTTTTGGTAGGATACTGCCTAGACAGTTGGATCTACAAGACATCGTCATCCTGATGCAGTAGAGAGCTTCCGCCAGCTTCACATTGGTTATTGAAACATCAAGTAACACCATTGCGATTTCCTTCTTACAATGTCAGCTGGTTTTCTGGTTTTCTTTTTCCAATACACAGGAAAGCAAAGCAAATCAAATCAAACAGCACAGGCTTAGAGCTCCAACGATAATCAAGCGTCCTGGATGCTGGCCCCCTTGAACGTGAAGACTCTCTCCTTGTCCTCCCCCCGCGGCACCAGAGTGACAACGATCTTGTCCGTGTCCTTCAAGCCCAAGATCTCGACGTTCTCCTTGATGGAGAAGCGGGCGTCCGGGTGCTCGACTCGGTCATCCCGGGCATGAAGTGGGGATGTTGTTGAAGGAGCCAACGTACTCAGCGTACTCAACGACCGTGGTGCTCTCGTTGGCCTCAGGGAGATTGATGAACCCGTTGAAGGCGGTGTTTGTGCATCCCAATCTCCATCTCTTCCAGGACCAGGATTTCGTCCCGAGCGCTGCCTTTGGGCTGCGCCACCGTGATCGTCAGTGGGCCCGCTCCAACTTTGACAGGCTCCCAGGATTTCACGAGTGGATACTCGGCCGCCATAGCAGTAGCTCCAGGAACCAACGAAGCAGCTGGATCAACTTCAAGCCACGGCCATACGCTTGCTCGTTGCCGATGCAATCTTTCACCTTGACGCGAACGAGGTTCTGGTTCTCATCGAAGAAGAGGAACTTGGTGTTGGGATCCGTGATGTCCTCGTTTCCGCTTTTCAGTCTTCCACACGTTCCACGTCCGGTCCACGTTACCGTGGTGGCTGTAGAAGAGTGGGTTGCCCAGGTCCTCGCCATGAGAGTTCTTGGGGCTGCCACCAAAGACTTGTGTGGGGCTTTCTCCAGGGATCCATCGCCACCCACATTCCTTTCCTGCGCGAGACATTGGTCACCTTTTAGAATCAAGGCCATGCACACGTACCTTATGCATTGGCTTCTTTCTTGGCGCTGGCGGTGATCATGAGCCGGTGCTGGAGCTTGGCGCGATCGAGCGAGAGTGCCGCGGGAGACATGGCTAAGTGTGGCACATTTGTAAGAATGGTGCTTTGCTTTCTTACAAAGCGGAGCCCTTAATTACGAACGAACTCGAGTCACACGGTTCTCGTGGGAGTACTCCAGACGAAAAAGTCACAGATACTCTACAAAGTTTTGTACGTGCGTCAAGCTTTTTGGCAAAAAAAACAGATAAATGAGCATGTACTATTATTGCATGTCTTTTGGTTTGCTTAAGCAAAGTAAATTATTTTGGGTTAGCACCATGTGATTCTATACTCGAACATAGCTTGCAACATTTCGTCCGGTTTCATTTGGTTACATTTCCAGAGATTTTAGAGAGCAAGCCTCCACTGCTTCATTTCTCGTGGCTAGGAGGACAGACCTTAGAACAGCTTGTTTCATTTGAGCTATAACGTTTGTTTGAGCTCAATCGAAGCTATTCTGGAGACAATATCCTGTCAAGAGAACGGTTTCTATAACTTTTACCAGGCTTGGAAAGAGAAAAAGGTTTCCTGGGATTTTAGAATCTTTCATGTATCAATGTTCTCAGGCTTTCCCGGCCTATGAAGATTTTTTCTCAAGTGAGATTCCTAGCAGGTTGTAGATCAAACAGATTCAAGTAGAGCAGTAGCCTCAAGGAGGCTTCATTCGCAGAAAGCGTATGTTTGATTTTTTTTAGAATATTTCTCATTGTGGCATTTTTGGTCTAGATAGTGGATCTACGTAGAAAGCTTCATCTCACATTGGAAATTGCAACATCAAGTAACACCATTTCGATTTCCTTTTACCATGCCAGCTGGTTTTCTGGTGTTCTTTTTCCAATCACAGGAAACCAAATGAAACAGAACGAAAGCTAGAGCTCCATCAAAAATCAAGCGTACTGGATGCTGGCCCCCTTGAACGTGAAGACTTTCTCCTTGTCCTTCCCGCGCGGCACCAGAGTGACAACGAGCTTGTCCGCGTCCTTCAAGCCCAAGATCTCGACGTTGGGCTTGATGGAGAAGCGGGCGTTGGTGGTCCGAGTGCTCGACTCGGTCATCCCGGGCATGAAGTGGGGGATGTTGTAGAAAGAGCCGACGTACTCGGCGCAGGAGAGCGTGGTGGTCTCGTTGGCCTCAGGGAGATTGATGAACACGTTGAAGTTAGTGTTATTCTGCATCCCAACCACCATCTCTTCCAGGACCAGGAGCTCGTCCGAAGCGCTGCCTTTGGGCTGCGCCACCGTGATCGTCAGCGGGCCCGCTCCAACCTTGACAGGCTCGGCGTTCTGGGACGAGGATTTCACGAGTGGATACTCAGCCGCCATAGCAGTAGCTCCAGGAACCAACGAAGCAACGATCGAACTCTTGGGCTGCGCGAAAGCCGTCTTTGCGAGCGGCAGTGGCTTGTAGTTGATCCAGACCTTGTCCTGGGGCATGGACGCGTACTTGTACTTGAGCTTCGTCTGGTTGTCGATGGAATCTTTCACCTTGACGCGAACGAGGTCCTGGTTCTCATCGAAGAAGAGGAACTCGGTGTTGAGGTAGTCCGCGTCCGTGAAGTCCTGGTTTCCCAGGGACCTCCACACGTCCCACATCCTGTCCACGTTACCGTGGTGGCAGTAGAAGAGTGGATCCTTCCCGGCAGAGTAGAAGTTGCCCAGGTCCTCGCCATTAGGGTTATTGGGGCTGCCACCAAAGACGTGCACGGCCGTGTGTGGGGCTTTCTCCAGAGATCCATCGCCACCGTTATTGTTCCCTTTCCTGCATAAGACATGGCTCCGTCACCTTTTTCTAGCCATGCACACGTACCTTATGGGAGCGCCGAAGAAGGCGTCCTGGAGCTTGACCTTAGCGACGTTGTTGTACATGACGGAGATGTTGTCCTGGCGGATCTGATCGTCGGTCTTGTAGGTGGGCTCGCCGAAGCTGGGGTCGACGCCGGGCGCGTAGCCGAGATCCACTCGCGCGGGCGCGTAGTTTGCCTCGTTGCGATTGGCGTCGAAGATGGGGGTGCCCTCGCGCCGAAACATCTCCGGGATGTAGCTCCCCCCGTCCTGGTTGTCCCAGTTCCAAAACGGCAGCGCGAAGGTTGGATCGTTGATCAAACTGCCCAAGATCTTCTCGTGGTAGTAGAGGTACCAGCGGTGCCACGGCAGGAAGAGCCAGTTGAAGTGGATCTGGAGCGTTGACTTTGGATCGCCCTCCTGGCGGTAGCCGAAGTTGCAGTAGACGCAGTGGACGTTTGCCTGCTGCCGGAAGCTCCGGGGATCATCCGAGGGGAGCGCGCGCATCTTGGCGTAGGCCTCGTTGTACTTCTGGATGTAGTCCTCGTCCACGAGATGGGCGGCGGGGCGGGTGCGCATGGGGCCGGTGTCGGGCTTGAAGTCGATGGTGTCGCGCTTGGGCTTGGGCGGGCAGCACGCCACGAAGGTGTTGGTGTTCTCGATTTTGGCGGGCTGGCAGCGCTTGAAGGTGGGCGATCCCACGGGCTCGGCGAGCACGGGACCAGTAGGGGACGCTGCGAGCGAAGCTCCGCCGGCGATTGTCCCCGCCAGGAGCTCGCGGCGATCGATGATCGAGGCCGGAGTGGAGCTACCTTTCTTGGAGGGGAAAGAGGGATTACCAGACTCCCCTGCTGCTGCATTGGCTTCTTTCCTGGCACTGGCGGTGATCTTGAGCGCACCCCGGGAGCGATTGGGCAGAAGTGGGCATTGGCTCCGGTGCTGGAGCTTGATGCGATCGAGCGAGAGTGCCGCGGGAAACATGCCCAGCAACGAATCCATGTTGGATGAGAGATTCAACTATCAACGCATTGGGAAGCGATACCTTTTTAAAGGACGAGTTCACATGGTTCTCGTGGGAGTACTGGGCTGAGATAATATTTCACATCGGAAGGGACCAAAGCTGTCCATTGTGATCGGACATTTTGATCCACGAGAACCCCGTGTCATTTGCCATTGCTCTCACAAGGAACTCTCAATTCCATTCAAGAACAAAGCACATCGAACTGAGGTTTTATTTCATCCGGGAACTCATCGACAAAGGCAAAATTCTTCTGGAATTTTGTTGCTGCAGGACGTTTAGACCAAGGCTCTATCTCATGTACAGCATCAAGACGTAATGAAGTAGCTACCGAGCCATTTTCCACAAATCCTACAGACATGGCTAAGCGTGGCACATTTGTAAGAATGGTGCTTTGCTTTCTTACAAAGCGGAGCCCTTAATTACGAACGAACTCGAGTCACACGGTTCTCGTGGGAGTACTCCAGACGAAAAAGTCACAGGTACTCTACAAAGTTTTGTACGTCTTTTAGACACGTGCGTCAAGCTTTTTGGCAAAAAATCAGCTAAATGAGCATGTGCTATTATTGCATGTCTTTTGGTTTGCTTAAGCAAAGTAAAGTATTTTGGGTTAGCACTATGACACAAACATGGAGGCTTGCAACATTTCGTCCGGTCTCATTTGGTTACACTTCCAGAGATTTTAGAGAGCAAGCCTCCGCTACTTCATTTCCCGTGGCTAGGAGGACAGACCTTTCATTTGAGCTAAGCGGATATCAAACTTTTTTGCGATAGAGTGTTGTTCAGTAAGCTGCACGCAGTGGATTTTAAAGCACGAGTGCCACTGGCGCCACCTCCAGCTCTCATGTGGTGCCTTGCGATGGATTGAGGCTGCCAAGAAGATGATGGTCGAAGAAGGAGCTCCTGCAAAGAAGAAACTCAAGTCCCTCAAAGCACAAGGCTTGGAAGATCCACTAGCCTCGGCCACGGGAACCTTATGACGGCCCAAAGAGAGGAAGATCAAGTATCGTCGTCAACTCGCTCACACAAGGATCTGCTTGCCATTACGTCACCTCTCTACAAAGTTCCCGAAGAAGCACACTGCAAGGATCACCGTGGCAGTGTTCGAGGCATAGATCATGGGCGCCTGGATATCTCGATTCCACCTTAAGATTCCCCAGGTTTATAGTGCCGATTCTGAGTTCTCCTCCTCACTCAAAAGAACACTTTATTCCATAACATTCTTGTGAATTCGTACGAAGATCCAAAGATCAGAGATGCGCCAAATCACCCCTTCTGTATGTAAAATTCAGTGGATAGACGAAGTTCTTCCACTTAGAATAAAGTTGGAAGAGCCGAGAAAAGGAGCGAGCAAAAGCCTGTTCTTGAGGTGACCGGCGAACAACTTGCTAGGCAGCAACCATGCATGTCTGCAACAAAAAAAAAAAAAAAGAATAAAAGAAATCGCAAAAAGAAACGCTCCGTCGGATGGATGGACGAATGCTGCAAAGGAGGATCAGCGATTCGCGAGGTTCTTCCCCTCTTTCTTTCGGTGCTCCTTTCCCCTACTTTCGCGTTCTTGGAGTGAGAAGAGAGTTAAGAGACAACAATCACTCGCAAAGTCTATGGCGTTTCGCCTAGCATATAAAAACCGTACCGATCCTTGCTCGTGTCCGCTCCCAAGGCAGAGATTGTATGTCACCCCGATCGTGTCAAGCAAAGCTGATAAAGATGCCTGGAAAGTCTAGTTTTCCGGATCCTTTCGGAATGAGAAGCTAGCGGAAGCAGCACAAGACGATGCCAAGCTCGGCCACGAACATCACCGTCGCGCTCCTCAACTTCTTCCAGCAAAACTTTGACGCTGACGACCGGGACTCTCGTCTCAAGTTTATCATTTGGTATAGCTCCACTCAACCATTCGATGCACGATTTTTGGCTTCGCACGAGTGTGCTCCCTCCACCATCGCTGGAAAAAAGAAAAAACTGGGAAACGAAAGGGATTATCAGGAAAAGAAAACTTTACATTCAAAAGAGAAAATGCGAGGAAAATTGGGGGATGATCATATGATCGCTTACCAGCGATGAGGATCAGGTAGCCCACGCCCACTGCCTATTGCCTGGAGCGCCTCGGGAACCAGCAGCAAGATTTCCAGCGAGCTCGGCACACTACCTCCAATCGCAAACCCGACAACGGCAATCCCGCCATACAATGCGAGCTCTCCAGCGCTCTTGTCCCGGAACCGGTGATCTACCGGTGGCCATGCCAAGCGCGTCTCAGAGCGTGGGATCATCATTGGTTGCAATGTATGCCAAGGAGGGGTATCTGAGGGTTCTTTGCTAGCTGGAGCGTGAAATCGCTCAACGCGATCGGTCAGGCGTATTTGCAAGACAGCGACCTTGAGGAGAAACATCATAATAAGACGCTCTATAGTTCCTGAAAGCGAGGAAGAACTATTGCACGCCATCGCTGTTCTAGAGAAGGATCAAGTATCCTGGAACGTTTTGGTCTAAGAAAATGCCCAGATTTGGCATATCGATCGATCACAGTGGCTCTTTGATAGAATGCCGTTTTGGGATTGGCATCATGGGCATCGATGATCACCGCGTATTGAACCGCTGGATATTATCACACTGCAAGGCTCCGATTCGGTCAGATGCCAGTGAAAAGCGTTGTTTCTTTGACGACCATGGTAGCAGCGTATGCCCACAACGGGCATGTGGTTCTCGCGGGAAGGCTGTTTGATGGGATTGCTCACAAGGATGCCGTGGCGTGGACGACCATACTAGTAGCGTATGGAGAGAATGGTCATGTCGGGGAAGCTTTGAGTCTCTTTCAAGAAATGCCGAGAAGGGATATAACATCGTGGAACGCAAGATCAGCAGCTTATGCCCAATCTGGGCACCAAGAGGATTGTATCAGGGTCTTTGAAAAAGTGCCTTGCCGGGACTTGGTGCAGCAATTCTGGCTTGCGTGCAGTGTCAATCTGCGGAGGAAGCCAAGGGAATTTCTGATCAAATGCCTTGGAAGAATATCATCTCTTGGACGGGATATGCCCATGCCCGGCATATCAGCGATGCCAAGCTGGCGTTTTGGCGGATGTCACGTCTTGGAACTCGGAGCAGGGAGGAGCGAGAAGCAAGGCTGCTCCCGTGGAACGCAATGATCGCAGTGTACGCTGAGAGCGGTCACCTGGAGGACGCTAGGAGAGTATTTGATCGAATGCGGAGAGGTCCTGGAACTCGATGATCCAGGCGTACGGTCAGAGTGGTCACCTTGGATCAAGCCCTAGCCCCCCTCGACGTCCCTTTTCCGTTAAGGTGGCAGGAACGAAGTCGTCGCCCGGCCAACTCGAGTTCGTGTTCTCTGTTTTTCCTTCTCTTTAGTTCGAGCTTTCTTTTATGATCCACAGTAACGGGGCGTGGTGTATGCATGACGACACTGGTGCAAGCTACACCACATGATTGATCAAACTGCTATGAAACCCAACCCTAGGAAACACCTGGCCAACTCCCTCCCCTCGGCTCTTGTTTGTACCTTCGGTGCCCTCCCGGAGCTCCTTAAGCTCTCACAAATCGAACAGTTAAGCGTGAGATTCATTCAGCACGTACCTCGAATGTTCTAGGCGAAGGTGACGACTAATGTCCATGAATGTGGCAATCGACCCGTTTAAAAGGTGGGTGAGCAGCGGCTCAAAAAACACTTCGAACACAACCTAGCCTATCAAAGGCGAAGGTAATTAAGTGTTTACCTTGTGGCGATGTTCTGCTAAAAGCTTTACATGCGCTCCATCTTGTTCAAGAAAGTGGCAACTACAGTTCAAAGCGAACGGAATCAAGGAAGAACAAGCTGGGCCGTACCGTGGAAATAGATGGATATCAAACCAACTAGGTACGAATTCCCCTCATTCACTGCTGTTTCAAGCATATCTTTGCTCGTCTCCTGAAAAAAATGGTAACCCTACTAAAGGCTGCAATGACGTGGCAGTTTTGATAAGAATTCTAACACGGGGTTCTCGTGGATCACTTTGGTCTGAAATATTATCGCCACTACGCCCACGAGAACCATGTGATCTCGTTCGCCCTTTAAAAAGGTACGGTTCCTACTGCGTCCTTAGTCGAGACTTGGAATCTCTCATCCAGCATGGATTCGCTGCTGGGCATGTCTTCCGCGGCACTCTCGCTCGATCGCGTCAAGCTCCTGCACCGGAGCCCATGCCCACTTCTGCCCAATCGCTCCCGGGGTGCGCTCAAGATCACCGCCAATGCCAGGAAAGAAGCCAATGCAGCAACAGGGGAGTCTGGTAATCCCTCTTTCCCCTCCAAGAAAGGTAGCTCCACTCCGGCCTCGATCATCGATCGCCGCGAGCTCCTGGCGGGAACAATCGCCGGCGGAGCTTCGCTCGCGGCGTCCCCTACTGGTCCCGCGCTCGCCGAGCCCGTGGGATCGCCCACCTTCAAGCGCTGCCAGCCCGCCAACATCGCCAACACCAACACCTTCGTGGCGTGCTGCCCGCCCAAGCCCAAGCGCGACACCATCGACTTCAAGCCCGACACCGGCCCCATGCGCACCCGCCCCGCCGCCCATCTCGTGGACGAGGACTACATCCAGAAGTACAACGAGGCCTACGCCAAGATGCGCGCGCTCCCCTCGGATGATCCCCGGAGCTTCCGGCAGCAGGCCAACGTCCACTGCGTCTACTGCAACTACGGCTACCGCCAGGAGGGCGATCCAAAGTCAACGCTCCAGATCCACTTCAACTGGCTCTTCCTGCCGTGGCACCGCTGGTACCTCTACTACCACGAGAAGATCTTGGGCAGTTTGATCAACGATCCAACCTTCGCGCTGCCGTTTTGGAACTGGGACAACCAGGACGGGGGGAGCTACATCCCGGAGATGTTTCGGCGCGAGGGCACCCCCATCTTCGACGCCAATCGCAACGAGGCAAACTACGCGCCCGCGCGAGTGGATCTCGGCTACGCGCCCGGCGTCGACCCCAGCTTCGGCGAGCCCACCTACAAGACCGACGATCAGATCCGCCAGGACAACATCTCCGTCATGTACAACAACGTCGCTAAGGTCAAGCTCCAGGACGCCTTCTTCGGCGCTCCCATAAGGTACGTGTGCATGGCTAGAAAAAGGTGACGGAGCCATGTCTTATGCAGGAAAGGGAACAATAACGGTGGCGATGGATCTCTGGAGAAAGCCCCACACACGGCCGTGCACGTCTTTGGTGGCAGCCCCAATAACCCTAATGGCGAGGACCTGGGCAACTTCTACTCTGCCGGGAAGGATCCACTCTTCTACTGCCACCACGGTAACGTGGACAGGATGTGGGACGTGTGGAGGTCCCTGGGAAACCAGGACTTCACGGACGCCGACTACCTCAACACCGAGTTCCTCTTCTTCGATGAGAACCAGGACCTCGTTCGCGTCAAGGTGAAAGATTCCATCGACAACCAGACGAAGCTCAAGTACAAGTACGCGTCCATGCCCCAGGACAAGGTCTGGATCAACTACAAGCCACTGCCGCTCGCAAAGACGGCCTTCGCGCAGCCCAAGAGTTCGATCGTTGCTTCGTTGGTTCCTGGAGCTACTGCTATGGCGGCTGAGTATCCACTCGTGAAATCCTCGTCCCAGAACGCCGAGCCTGTCAAGGTTGGAGCGGGCCCGCTGACGATCACGGTGGCGCAGCCCAAAGGCAGCGCTTCGGACGAGCTCCTGGTCCTGGAAGAGATGGTGGTTGGGATGCAGAATAACACTACGTTCAACGTGTTCATCAATCTCCCTGAGGCCAACGAGACCACCACGCTCTCCTGCGCCGAGTACGTCGGCTCTTTCTACAACATCCCCCACTTCATGCCCGGGATGACCGAGTCGAGCACTCGGACCACCAACGCCCGCTTCTCCATCAAGCCCAACGTCGAGATCTTGGGCTTGAAGGACGCGGACAAGCTCGTTGTCACTCTGGTGCCGCGCGGGAAGGACAAGGAGAAAGTCTTCACGTTCAAGGGGGCCAGCATCCAGTACGCTTGATTTTTGATGGAGCTCTAGCTTTCGTTCTGTTTCATTTGGTTTCCTGTGATTGGAAAAAGAACACCAGAAAACCAGCTGGCATGGTAAAAGGAAATCGAAATGGTGTTACTTGATGTTGCAATTTCCAATGTGAGATGAAGCTTTCTACGTAGATCCACTATCTAGACCAAAAATGCCACAATGAGAAATATTCTAAAAAAAATCAAACATACGCTTGCTGCGAATGAAGACTCCTTGAGGCTACTGCTCTACTTGAATCTGTTTGATCTACAACGTGCTAGGAAAGAACATAAGCCACTGTTATCGTTCTTCCTGAATCTCACTAGAGAGGAAAGCCCAGAGGTTTAGTCATGTTACATGACTAAACGCAAGACATTTTCCTGCGATAATTGATACATGAAAGATTCTAAAATCCCAGGAAACCTTTTTCTCTCTTCCTTCAAGTTCCAAGCCTGGTAAAAGTTATAGAGACTGTTCTCTTGACAGGATATTGTCTCCACAATAGCTTCGATTGAGCTCAATATTGAGCTTAGGAATCTGGAGATGTCCAATCACGAACATACAGATTTTTATACAGTGGGGCATGCTAGCCAAAACGTTGTCTCCCCCCACTGTAAAAGAGCGCGGGAAGGAGCCTGCAAAGAATAAGTTTAAGTGTATAAAAAAGAAAAACGAGACAAAGAAGAAGAAGAAGAAGAAAAGATTTTATGGTCTCCGTGGCGCCCGATGGGGCATACCGTGGCTTTCGCCAGATTTCTGGTCTTGCGTCACTCACTGACTGATACGGACAAAGAACAGCAAAGCCAAAAGAATGAGTTACCGTCCCAAGAAAATCAAGTGCGTCGCATCCCGGCCTCGAATCAGTGGAACTTGACGAGATTTGGTAGTGATCTACAAACGTTATGGCTTGTACTGATGCATGGCTCGAACTTCCATCGCCTCTGCCTCCATCGCATCCCTGTAAATGCCCCCGAGACTAGCCTCAGTACCTCCATGAATGATGCCGTGCAAGAGGCCTGCGTCCGCTCGCATCAACAGCGAGCTCACACCAGGGAAAGAAGTTATGCAGCATGGCGCTTGTCCACTGGGGAGCATGGCAGCAGGAAGTACTGGAAAGACTTGAGCAGCTTTGCCTTCTCTAGAGTCGCGCCAGCGCTTGAAGTCTTGACACGCATCAGCACCATATCACAGCCTTCGTCCCTGGATACAGTTTCCAGATTGTACCGTGGCTTCTCTGCCATATCGAAGTGCTCTGATCGCACAAAATCGCCATTCAGGCACTGGGTAGACGACTTGGCCATACGAGCAGGCGTAAGGAGGAACTGCGGGCTGAGCGCCACGCCACTGCCGAAGTGAACCATCCTACTCTCATCCACACTCTGGAGCCTGTGTGTTGCGCGAATGGCTTTCTTGAGTATGGTTGGATTCCTTCCATATACTGACCAGCTTGGGCTTGTAGAACTAGGAAGATCATCCTTCGGGAAAATAAAACTCTACTAAACTTTCCCTTCCTAGATTCACTGCTACCTCTCCTGAAACCTCTTTCAGGAGCTTTTGTTCTTCTCGACACATCTGCTGGATACTAGGAGTTACATAATAAGGCAGATCACAGACATAAGGCACATACCCGAAAGGCTCCCGCATTGCAAACCCTATTCCTACCCTTATTAAGGAGAAATTTTCTTCCTCTTTAAGGGAATGTCCTGACGAATCTCTCTCCCGGTATGATTTTTTCATATAAAAAACGTTGCTCGTGTCCGCCACCTCGGTCGTGTCAAACAAAGCTGGAAAAGAAATTCTGGTTTTCCTGGAACGAAACACACTTCTTCACTTCACTTGAAGCCCTTCGGGAGAGAGGATCCGAGAGATTATTGTGCTGGAGTTGCCGCTGCCTCGTCTTCTTCAGGTGGAACAATCTTCAAACGAGAGCCCCCTATTACTATTGCGCCCTCAAATTCAACTCCTCAAAAGCCAGAGACAACTAGACTGAATGAATGCTAAATCAAGCTCTCTCAAATGAGAAGCTGGCGGAAGCAGCACAAGCTCGGACACGCACTCCACACTCCTCTCTTCCACGGCAGCTCGGCGCGGACCTGGATCCCCATCGCGTAGAGCTCAGGAAGACCAGCTCCTGCAAAACTTCGACGCCGACTCTCGTCTCAGGTTTATCATAATGGACTGGTTAAGGAGGTAAACCTTTACCTCGCACACAGCTATAAAAGGAAGGTCTAATTCCTGCTAGGGTTTGTTCTGGAAGAGCCTTGTTCGTGGGGAGTTTTATGTTATTTACTATGCACCTATAGATTCGGCTATTGGCCAAGAACAGGCAAAACTTCAAGAGGAGGTTTTAGAAACTTGAGACAGATCCATCTAGGAAAGGTAAGTTCAGTAGAATTCTGGGCGTCGACTTTGAATCGGGCACGGTTATCTTCCCAGCGGGTGATCCACCCAGATTGGGAAGCTCAGTGTATGGAAAACCAGCTATACTCAAGGAGGCCATTCGTGCAACACATGAGAGTGGGATCGTTAGCTTTGGCAGTGGCATAGCACTCAGCCCGCACTTCTTCCTTACATCTGCTCGTGTGACCAAGTCGTGTACCCGGTGCCTGAATGGAGATTTTGTGCGACCAGAGCACTTCGATATGGCAGACAAGCCACGGTACAATCTGAAAAACATATCCAGAGACGAGGGCTGCGACTTTGCGCTGATGCGTGCCACGACTTCATCTAGTGCTGGGATCCTCTGGACTTTAAAGAAGAAGACAGAAAAGCCAAAGCTGCTCAGATCATTCCAGTACTTCTTGCTGCCGTGCTCCCCCGTGGACAAGGAGCCGTGCTGCATAACTTCTTTCCCAGGAGTGAGCTCTGTGTTGATGCGAGCGGACTGCATGGCACCATCTGGAGCATCTACAGGGACGCGATGGAGGCAGAGGTGATGGAAGCCCGAGACATGTTCCCATATAGCTCACAAGTGGATATTGAAGCCATGGCCAAGAACATCCTGTTTAGCAAGCTGCATGAAGCCTTGGGAAATCACTGTACAGGAGTTCAGACTGCATCGATTGGAAAGATGGCGCGCTCTTCTAAATGTGGGTGGAGGACAACTTGTAGTGCCCTGTGTGGAAGCTGTGGAGCGCCTGTTTGTCCTGTCAAGGGTTATGGCTATTTCTGCGCTTGGCACACTGGAGCTGCTCCAGCTAGCTGCGACGAGCGTGCCTTTGTGGAGGCATATTTCCGGAATGTGCTTCAGGATCTGAGGATGGCGTTTGGAAGGCCTGGGATTTGAGTCCTTTCTTTCAGTGGATTTTGAAGCACGAGAGCCACTGGCGCCGTCTAGAGCTCTCGGGTGGGGATTGAGGCTGCTAAGAAGACGATGGTGGAAGAAGAACCTCCTGCAAAGAAAAAGCTCAAGCCTTGAAGTTACTGGACTAACATATGCGTGATGAGCTTTATCACATTATTCATCCCACCATTCATTTGTTGAAGGAACTTCCGAGGCTTACGGGGTCTCATGATTTTTGCTGATTCCTCTACCAACTGGATGAAGAGCACTTCTTTTAATCTTATAACTACACAATTCTACATTTATAAAAATTATTATATAGCTACCATCAAACGATACGAGCTTCAGAGAGTGAAAAGCTTTTAGTTATCAGCTATTTAAAAGGACGTGTGACTTAGATTTTACTACTACACAAGTTGGACATGAGAGCGCAGCCAGCCTTCCTGTCCGCCTCCTCCATCCCGAGCAACGATCCAAACGCGCCCCTCCCGGCCTCCACGCTCTCGCAAGCGCTCAACACCGTCGTCCAAGTCACTCCACTCGGCTCAAACGGCATCTCCTCCGCCAGCCTCACCGCCTCCTCCACCCGGTTGGCTCGCCCCAGTGTGTCCATCACGCAGTGGTAGTGCTCGATGCGAGGAGCCACCCCGTGCTTGGACTCCATCTCCCGGAAGAACTTCCAACACCGATCCACCAGACCCCCGCGGCTACACGCGATGAGCAGCGAGGTGTAAGTCACGGCGCTCGGCTCCCATCCCCGGCCTAGCATCTCGCCCAGGAGCTGGAAAACTCGGTCGGTGTCTCCCTGGGAGCTGTAAGACGTGATGAGCGCGTTCCAGGTGATGGCGTCCGGGCTGGCGATGGAGTCGAAAGCTTGTTGCGCGTGGTCGAGGCCGCCGCACTTGCCGTAGGCGTCGACGAGCGAGTTGGCCAGCACTGCGTCGGACGAGGCTCTGCAGCGGCAGATCTCCGCGTGGACGAGCTTGGTTGAGCTGAGAAGACCGAGAGCTCCACAGGCCTTGAGCGCAGCAGCGTAAGTTCTAGCGTTGGGTGACGAGCTCCACGAGTTTTTCTGCCTCTGGAGCCGCGAGAACAAGCCGAGTGCCGATGCTGCGTCGCCGTTCTCCACGTAACCGAGCATCAGTGCGTTCCACGAGGCCAAACCGTGGCTCGAGGGACTTTGCTCGAAGATCTTCCGGGCGTTGTCCATGCTGCCACACTTGGAGCAGAGATCCACCGCTGCGCTTGCCACGAAGATGTTGGATTCCAGTCCCCGCTTTACTGCCTGATCGTGGACGGCCATCCCGCGCTGCAGCCACTGTTTTTTCTTGACAAGCTTCCCATCGCCACCATCTTTCGAAGCCTCGCAAGTGCAAGCTCTCATCGCGGCCACGAAAGTCTGAGCACTCGGCCGGCAACCCCGAGCTTGCATCTGATCGAAGAGCCCGAGAGCCAGAGCTCCTTCGCCGTTGTCGACGTATCCCAGTATCAACGACGTCCAGGAAACCACTGTCGGATTCTCTATCCTGCCGAAGACTCGGGAAGCGTCCGCCATACTTCCACACTTGAAGTACATGTCCACGAGCGTGTTGGCGACGAAGATATCCCGCTCGAAGTGCTTACTCGCAGCTCGAGCGTGAATAGCCATCCCTTTCTCGAGCGCTCCCATCTTCACCAGCTTCTCTCCGCGGCCTTCCTCTTCCTTGGCTGCCAGAATAACGCAGGCTTTGAGCGCGGCAACACAGCTTCGATCGTCTGGACTAGCTTCGTCTTCTTCGTTGGCCATGCGGACAAACAAATCGAGTGCTGCTTCCGGCTCCCCGTTCTCGGCATACCCCAGCATCAGTGAGTTCCACGACACCGCGTTCCGCCTCGGCATTCGCTCGAAAGCTCTCCAAGAGTCAAGGAGGCTTCCACACTTGGAGTAGACGTCCACCAGCGTGCTCCCGACGAAGATATCCGCCTCGCAGCCATACTTGACGGCCTGCGAGTGCACGGCCACGCCTTTTTCCAAGCACACCACCTTGACGAGTTTCCCATCGACTTTGCTGCCAGCCTCGTCCCCGGCCAAACTCGAGCAGGCCTTCAACGCCACCACGAAGTTCCTGGCGTTGGGAGTGCATCCCTCGCCCAGCATCCGTTCCAGCAGCTCCAAAGCCCGCTCCGAATCGCCACTCTCCGTATACCCGAGCATCAGAGCGTTCCAGGCGACAGCATTCCGGCTCGACATCTCGTCGAAAACTCTGCTAGCGCTGCTCAAGTCCCCACATCTTGCGTAAAAGTTGACGAGCGCACTTCCCAGGTAGATATCCTGTGCTATAGCTAAAGCTCCCTGTAATACCCTTACGGCTTGGTGGTGAACAGCCATTCCTTTCTCCAGTGACTTCATCTTCACAAGCTTCCCGTTGATGTCCTGGACAGCTTCCTTCGTTGCCAGTCCAACACACGCCTTGAGAGCCACCACGAAGGTGCGCGAGTCAGGGACGCAGCTAAACCTCCGCGACTGCATAGCGGAGAAGAGTTCCAAGGCCTGTTCCTCCAAGCTGTTCTCCGCATAACCCAGCATGAGAGCAGTCCATGCCACGGCGTTGCAAAGTGGCATTCTGTCAAACACGCTGCGAGCGTCCACCAGGCTTCCACATTTGCAGTACATGTTGATGAGAGTTGTCGCTGCGTAGATGTTGGAGCTCTCTCCAATTGCTACAGCTCGGGCATGGATTTTCCTACCTCTGTCCAAGTCCTTAGAGCTGCTGCAAGCCTTCAATTCGGACACCAGAATGAAAATCCTCTTGGCTTTTTCCAGTCTCTCGAGCGTGCGCTGTTGGGAGCTCCTTACCTCTGGACTGGAAATCCTCTGCATTCCTAAGCTACAAAACCCTATCAAACCCTCAGTAGAACAAAAAGAAAAAGAGCTCAAATTTCGTCAAACCGTGACCGTGCTACAAGTCAAGAGACTGGCATCCTCCATAGCTTCTTGTTCTTCTTCTCAACTGTAAGAGCACACAGGTGAGTAAATGAGAAACGAATCAATCTTACTACATCACCCATCATCCTTGAGACGGCTGAAATGCTCGAATCCTGCTGGAGAAAAACTCGAACTTTTAGCTAGACACTCTTTAAAATGCCTCACCGAGGCATTTACAGCGAGCAAAACCTTGAAAGTTGCGAAGCACTGCTGCTCCCAGCGAAATCCTCGTAGCATTACGTTTCTTGGGGACAGGGGACAAAGGTACAGCAGACCTGGAAGGACAAACAAGCTTTTTCGTGAGAGACCGAGAAACAGGAACTGGAAGGAGGAAAAGCAAGAAGACCCGGAGCTGGAAGAGGATAATCCATCCTGCTCCAAATGAAAACCACCAGAAGAGCGGGACGTTGTGACGAATGTAGCTCGATGGACGCGAGGAGAGGGCGAAAGTAGTCGGGCGGGAGGAGCTGCTACTCGCCCTGCTACCACCAATCTCGCAGCCATAGCCAAAACACGTCTAAACCCCACACCCTCTCTTATCGTTTCTGACTGGGAACTTAATTCCGACTGGCCGAGAGATAACACTGGAGAAAAAGCTCTTGTTATTCGCGATGATAAACTCTCGCCAATCTTGTCAACAAGCAAAGAAGACTATCCACGCACCTCAAGAAATTCAATAGCATCACCTGGCAGGAAGAGACCAGTAAAACATGCCATGGAAAAGAACAAAGCAATGAAATCAAGAGAGAACCTTGATGCTTCAAAACACTGCTCTCGTGACGGTTCTGACGCTACGCTTTTCGGAGACCTTAGGCAGTGCTGGAGCCAACCTGGGTAGAGAAACACAACACATGAACCACCATCCAGAAACAGGGAAATACAAAGGCACTAGAAAAGCTGGACCAAATGAAAAAATTCGTTTTGCCTGAAAATCTGGGTTGATACAGGTACCTCTAGCTGGTGATCATAGCTCAGGGAAGACAAGAACAAGAAAGAAAAAACACGGAAATAAAAGCCACAGATTCATCTGTGACAACGGACGATGGACTCCAAGGATAGTGTGCTAAATTCTGAGAGACTCAGCCATCATCGTCCTCTAGACTGTAGCAGCGGCCTGAAATTATCGAGAGACACCCACTTCAAGAAAATGCCTGCAACCCGAAAACACGCATGAAAAAAAAAAACAAAAAATGCCGCAAGACAGAACGAGAGACCACCCCTAGATCCACACAGAGAAGGAAAAAAAAACAATGCAAGCAAGCTTCATAGCAAACAAAGACAAAGGAAGAATTTTCCTTACATTCTAGGCTCTTCGATCCACCGGAAATCAGCGAGACGAGCCTGGACGAGGCCGTGGCATTGTGCAAAGGAAACAGCGACACGAGCTCCCGACGAAGCCTAGCAATTCGATCGAAAGAATGCCAAAAGAGAAATAAATGTATACCTGGTCTTGATTCGAGCTTCTTCGAACGATCGAGGCAACGATCGATGGAACTGGTACTGCGGTTGGGCGCCGGAGGACCTGGGATGGAATTGCGGCCTGGCAGCGCGAGCGCGGAATGCGAAGCGCCCCGCCATGCGACCTACATTGGCCGCTGCCATAGCCCTAGTCTAAAACCCTAGGGTTTATAAGCTCTCTAGAAGAAAAGCCATGGCGGCAAGAGTGATGAGGCGGCTAGAATTGCTTCCCCAGCTCGGGATTCCAGGCGCGCGGCCACTGCGGCGATCGATCGCGATTCCATCGCCGGAGGGGCAGGCGAGCGCCAGGATCAGGTGAATTTCCAGTGCATGGATTCGATCGATCGAGCACAAAGGAGATTTTGTTTCCAGGATCCACAGGGGGATTTCGTCCATGGTGCCCAAGCACAGCGCCACGGCGGCGGCGCGACTGGTGACCGGGATCGCGGTGAGCTCCGAGGCGACGCGCTGGGAAGGTTAGCTTTTTCTCGCTTTTCTCGCGATCGAGAGATCGATCAGTTGGTTGTTCTTTGAGCTTTTCGACAGGCATTCTCTTGAAGTGGATGTTCCTCCAGTACTGACCGAGGATTGACTGATCGATGGTAGCTCATGACATTCCCTGCAGAGAGCCTGATCAAATGTAGGATAGTAAAAATGCAAATGCTAGGGTTCCTCCTCTTAGGGTTTCTACGAATTAAAAAAAGTGGAGAGCTTTGAATTGGTCCTTTGGGGTCCATCCAAAAGTTTCTAGAAAGCTCCAAGATCCCGGGAATTTTTTAGGGTTCCTTGTACCACCGCCAGGTCTCCAAACACACGTCTCAACCAAAGAAATCACAATCAGCTCATTATGACAAGGCCCAACCCTCCACACACCCAAGAAAAGGCCAACACAGAATTCCCAAGCTCGTCCATAAACACGAAGTTAAGCATTGCTGTCCCCCTTGGAAACACGTTGTGGCGAAAAAAAACCCAAAGAAAAGAACTCCAAATAGAAAAGAACTAAGTACCAAAAAATAAAAAAGAACTTCACGTTGTCGCACAAAAATTAAAACTTTGCGTTGTTGCGTCGTTCCCATCGTGGCACGTAGCCGGCGCAACAACCATCTCCATCACAGCGACCGCCGTGGGATCAGCATATGCTCCAAGAATATCCCCTTCGTACGCCTGCCGTACGCTAAGGAACCCACGGCTGAGATCAGCCGTCGTCATGCAGGGGAATATTCCGTGGAATGTAACGTAAAAAAGATGACCTAAAATGGTAGTTACACATAACTACGTTACAGTAGGAGACTCTGACAGCTGGCCCAATTCGCGACTTACCCCACGTAAAAACAAAGAGCGTGTCTCAGCGTGTGTGAAGAAAATCCCCGGCCCAGGGAGGGACTGGGTAACTTCTTCGACGTGGAGTAATTGCAGAAGATAAATACCCGGCCCTGGGCTTACCCTATTTCGCCAGGGAGAGAGAGAGAGAGAGCTCTGCGCGAGAGAGTGAGGGAAGAATTTCTTTCCAGCCCGCAGCGAAATCTCTTCGGCGCGATGGCATTGCAGGCGATTCTCAGGAAGATCGCAGCGCTGGTGCTGCTGATTGGCATTGTCATCGCGGCGGCGATGCCCATGGCAGCGCAGGGAGCACGAATTGGAGCAGGGGCCATGTCTTCGGCGATGGAGATGGATGATCTCTCCCTCGCGGAGCAGCAGGGCGTCATGGATCTGGGATTGAAGATGGATGCCACCACCAGGCAGCTCCTCGCAGAGGATCCATACAAGACCTACTAGATTGGAGCATGGGAGAAGAGGGAATCGCCCAAATGGAATGGGGAGGGGTGGATTGGAGCGAAAGGAGGGATTTTTATTCTTTTCACTGGTCTAGTATAAGTAGCAGCAGCACAAAAGCGGGGAGGAGAAGAGTTCTTCGTCGTTCTTCCTTGGACTTCTTCGCTTTCCTTCCGCTGGATTCCTTCCTCCTCCTTCCATTTGGCGATCTCGATTCCTCCATAAGATTGTTTGTAGGCGAGGCAGCATTTTCCCCAGGTTTGTGGAAGTTGTGAGCAGTTTTTTCCCCTTTTCTCGTTTTCTCGTTGTCAACGTTTTCTTTTTGGTTCTATCGCTTGGTTCTCTCGATCAGAGGATAGCGCCCTCCAAATAACACTCTCGATTCTCTCGAGCGTGCAGCATTTGTGTTTCTCCTCCTCGCTCTCGTGTAAAGAAAAGAAAAATTTGTACTCTCCATTCCACAGGTAAATAACACTCTTGTGAATTCTATCCATGATCTCCAAAAAAAACTCTAGCCAGACGTGAGCTATCGAAAGCGCCAAACACACCTCTCTCGCGATGGATCGATAGAAAACTCCGCGGCAGCATTGGAGCTAGCGATTAGATTACTCGCGCTTCCGGATCAAAGTGTTCTTCCACTTAGAATAAAGTCGGAAGAGCCGAGAAAAGGAGCGAGCAAAAGCCTGTTCTTGAGGTGACCGGCGAACAACTTGCTAGGCAGCAATGGCACCAACCATGTCTGCAGAGCAAGCACGTAAACACGAAAAAAAAAAAATTCACAAAAACAAAAACAAAACAAAAAAAACCTTACAGCACCTTCTCTATAGGACAAGTGTGCTCTGCTGGCTGCCGTCGGATGGATTCGACGGCCGGGATGAGCGAAAGGAAATGCTGCAAATCCCGCCAAGACCACCCAGAATTTGTCCAGAGCTTGCAGACGACTTAAGGGGATGCGGTTGTAACTGATCGCGAAGTTTTTCCTTTCTTTCGGTGCTCGGCCTCCTACTTTCGCGTTCCTGGAGTGGAAGAACAGAGAGAGTTAGAACAAAAGTGGAATGAATGGAAGTAATCACTCACAAAGTCCATGGCGAGATCGTTGTTTCGCCCATTATTTTTTCGCCTCTCCGTGCTTTTGCTCTTTGTGATCTCCAGACATCAGCATCACCCTCGTAAATGCATCCTGACGTCGATGCTCCCGCATCTCTCTCGCTTCTTCAATGGTATAAATTTTCCCTCTCGTAGCATATAAAAAAACGTACCGATCGTTGCTCGTGACCGGTCCTACTATAAGGCAGACCCGAGAGAAAGATTGTATATCACCTGGATCGTGTCATACAAAGCTGGAAAATAAGTGCAAGAAAAGAGAAGTTTAAGGCGAAACCATACCTGGAAAGTCTAGTTTTCCTGGAACGAAACGCGCTTCTTCACTTGACTTCTCGCTCTTCGGGACGCTGTAGTGGAGGGCGGATCCAAAGAATTGTTGTGCTGGAGTTGGCGCTGCCTCGTTTTCTTCGGGATGAGCAGCTGGCGGAAGCAGCACAGGACGATGCCAAGCTCGGTCACGAACAGCACCGTCGCGCTCCACACGTAGAGTGTCCTCCTCCACTTGTAAACCAGCGACTTTTTCCACGGCAGGTCGGCACGGATCTGGATCTCCGACGCGTAGAGCTCCGGAAGACCAGATCCCGGCCCGAATCCAGCTCTCGGCTCCAGCAAAACTTTCACGCTGGCGACGTGCACGGGACTCGCGCGCGGTCGTCTCAGGTTTATCATTTCCAGCTCCAGGATTTGGTACTCCCCGGCCACGTCGAGAAGGACCGGCACTGAGTAGATGAGCGTCCTTGCGTAGCGTATCGGGACGCTTTGAAAGCGGAGCATGCACGGGCGACTGGATCTGACGACGACTTCGTTCCGCGCTGAGAGTATCTCCGCTGCCACCTTCACGGAAAAAGGACATGCTTGAAGTCGAACAAAGAAAATGAAAGCAAAGCAAGGAAGAAAAGAGAGTGAGTTCTCACCTGGAACATTCCAAGTTGCCGGTTATAATCTGACTCTGGGAGAGTTAACGACACCCCGACGCGGAGCTTATCCCAGGAGAATGCTGGCGGCCACCGTGAAAGCTCTTCGCCAGTCCCGGCCTCGGAGATGAATCTAAAGTATGCGCTGGGGCGAGCCTCGGTGTAGTTGAAGTAGAGCGGAGCCTTGACGTCGAGAGGCACCTCCACGAACTTGGTCACGTAGAAGTACTCGACGAGTAGCACGGGCAGGACGAGGAAGGCGAGCATGAGCAGGGCGTAAGTCACCGCTAAAACTCCCCATCCAAATCTCTGGACGAAGCTGGCGAGCCGTGGAGCGAAGTCCGACGCGAGTGGCTTGACGCGAGAGTTGAAAAGCTCCGAGAGGTTCTTTCCCGCAGCGCTGGTAATTTGTACCGGGTCGAGGACGAAGGCATAGAGCAACCCGAGGGTGGAGACGGCAGTGGTGCACGCAAGGAAGATGACCTTGAGCTGCCAGGCCACGGCAAGAATGATGAAATTCGCTGGCCAGAAGATGAGACTGCTCTCGTTGCCATTGTCGACACTGTCCGGCATCTTGTAAACTTCTCGCCTCGCTGCTTGAGGCTTCTCGCCAGCTTCTTCTGCTGAATCCATGAAAACTGGCCGGATAACGTCGTAAAAAATCCCGGCGTCGCGCTTGGAAACTTGCTCGAGTTCTTCGCTTCCAATCACTTCTGCGGTTATCTCCGACTGGTGGTCACTTCCAGCTTGACGAAGAGCTCTTAGTCGATCTGTGAAGCTCGTTTCGTCCGTGTCAAGCGTTGGAACCTGCTCGAGCGAGTCTCTTTCGCTCGGTTCTAAGCTCACCTCGGGGTGGTGGCTTTCTCCTCCATCAACTTCATCTAATGTCTCTGTGGAGCTCGTCTCGTCGGTGTCATGCCTGGGAACTTGCTCGAGCTCGCCGATCCCGTCCAAGCTTTCTCGTCGCGAATCTCGCTCTGGCTGGACGATTTCATCGTCGGAAGCCTGCTCGATTTCGCTTATCTCCGAGTGACTATCCTCTTCTCCTCCTGTAAGGCTATGGCTCCCGTTTTCCCCCTTTTCTAGAGCAGCTTCTTCCTCGCGTTGCCAGTCCAGCGAACGATCCTTGCATTTCTTCCTGTTCCTCAAGCTCCCATTCCGCCCGCTACTCATCTCTTTGCGGGGCTCATCCGGGAAGGCGAGCGCGTCACTGAAAGCCTCCTCCTCCGCCATGATCCTCTCTAGAAAATCCTCCTCGCTGCTCTAAGATCACATACCTCGCCGCAAGCTCTTTCTCCCCTCCCTAGCACAGGAGTTTAGGGTTTAAAGAAGAACCGATGAAGTGGCATTTAGGCCAAGCATATCCCTCGACAAAGATTAAAGTTAATTTTAGGGTTTTCGTAAGTATCAAGAAAAGGGTCTAACGTAAGAACTATTCGTGAAAAACTCTAAAAATCCGAGAAGAGAAACTTTAGAATGGTCAACTCAATCACTCTTTCGAATAAAGGCAGGGGAATCTCTTCTTCTTATTTGTGTACGCCACCATCAATTTTTCCACAAAGAAAAAGATGATCCAAGCATCTCGATCAATCTATCTTCCACAAAGAAAAAGATAATCCAAGTCTTGAGAAACCAAGAACAAAACTTAAATGGATTTCTCACACATAGATCAAGATAGCCTCGCTGGCAAGCTAATTATAGGGTTCTTGCGAGAGAAGGCAAACTTTAAAAGTATAGTGCCAGGCCCATGCCACCTTTTTCAATCTCTTCAAGTAAAGCCGTACGGAATTCTCTTATTGTTGGTCCACAAAGAAAAAGATGATCCAGGTGCGCAGCATCGATCAATCAATAGTTTGGGTAGTACAATCTACTGGTGACATTGACGATGAACGTATCGCCATCGATGGAATGCGTGATGAGGTTCGCGATCCCGCGCGCCATCTCAAAGTCGCCAGTGCCGCCCACCACCGAGATGTCCCTGCTGGGCGCCAGGATAAGATCCGCTCCCATGAAGTTGAGCGTGCCATTGTACTCCTCGTTCTCGATCACCGCCGAGAAGAGGAGCAGCGCGTTGAAGGCGATCCCGGCCTGGGTGCGATCGTAGATGTAGACGCCCTGGCCGCGGCCCAGGAGCTTGGATTCCAGCGCTGGCGCCAGCGTGAGCGAATCGTTGAAGACGATGACTTTGCCGAATCCCAGGCCGGTGATGTTGTGGTTTGGGCCGGCCACCTCCGCGGCGGTGTTCGTCCATGGATGCGTCGTGTTTTGGAGGGTGTCGTGCCAGAAGAACTTGTACGTGGAGGGCCTCTTGGGCGATTTGGGACTGGAGGAGTGATGAGCGGCGCGAGCGGGGAGGATCAAGAGAGCGAGAGCGACGAGGATGATCTCACAGAAGAGAGTTTTGCAAGAACTTCTATGATCCATTTCTTCTTTGAAAGGTGTACTAATGGAGAGCTCGAGAGATCTTGGTTTCTTTCTTTCCTCTTTGGAGAGAAAAGCCCTGGCATTCCAGAGAGAAGTATGGGTTGATTATATACTGGAAAAGCTTAGCTGCGAATTGTTGACCACCATAGCAAGTTTCCATCGCTGCAGTGCTTCGGATGGAGATGCTCTGCGGACATAAAACATATGGTTGTCTTCTCCTCGTTCTTTGATTCGTTTTTTGACCTGTAAGAAATAGATTGACCGGTAGTTCCAAAAAAATAAAAATAAAAATAAAAGCAAAAAATAAGAGAAGTAGAAGAGTGTTGAAGAACCTTTTTCGTCGCAATGGTGTCCGACCCGTCTCTTCTCCGAAAATTCAAAGAGGCGAAGATGATCATCTGCCAAACGTGAAAAGAAATGTCTATGTAAATCGAAACTGTAGCGATACCGATTTCTCTTCTCTAAAAATCTCAAGTGCCACTAGAACTTACTGTACTTACTGTGGAGATCCTCAAAATCTTGCCAGTCCAGCGAGCGAGCCATGCGTCGTGTAACAAGTAAAAAATTAAGAGCGCTGCTGTCAGCCTGCTTGTGCCAAAGATCCACAGGTTAAACTAAAAAAGAACCAGACCGCCATGTTCATGGACTTCGTGGAGGCTCTATGATAGAGATTTTGAGGCTTTGAGCTATAGTTAGACCTCTTTTATACCCTGCAGGTTCGTAAAGAAAAAGCGTATTGAGAGTATTGTGTGTCGAATTTACAAACCGGTGTCGATATGATACATGCCAAAACTTACAAAAGCCAAACTGATGATCAGGATGCACGCGCAAGCCACTGCTTGCACATGTCTTCGACTGGCAATGCGCCAGTCATTCGAGCCTGGAAAGAAAAGAAGACAGAAGATAAAACATGGCATGCAAGTGTCTTGCTTGCTTACCTGTTGCCGAACCCATTCAACATCTCCAATGTTGTTGCTGCGAGAGGCGATCTGGAATGCCGTTTTCAAACGTCCACACATGACACACGCCAAAACTTTCCTGCACAGGGGCAAATGTTTAACCAAAAAGGAAAGCAAAAGAGCTCGCCACGCACCTGTGAGTACTCGACAACATCTCAATAAGCCTGTCGGGCCTCTCACGGTGCCTGTTGGCATAGACCGAAATGGCCGCTCCAATTATCTGGAACGTTATAAAAGCGTTAGCTGCAAAGCACCTCCTTCGAAATAATAACCTGGTCGAGGTCCTCGTTGTCGATCGTTCCTTTGATGTTTCGTAGCAGATCTACCAAGTTATTGTACTTGCGTTTCTCTGCCAACGCAGCAGCTACACCAGCATATATGTAGACAGCTGCAAACAGAACGCCAGACAATGGTATGCACGACTTTTGAAAGAGTGATTACTCACCAGGAAGTCCGAAGTCATAGATTATTTGAAATGCCAAGTCAAAGTTTTTCTCCACAAGCGCCTCAGCCACTTCGCACCTTCGTCTGGAGCGCGATGAACACTCGTGAGAAACTACGCGAGGTAAAAGGAAATACGCACTTGAAAGTATCGTTGTCATTAGGATTTCCAAACAGAGAGCGTTTCCATGGAGGGCCGTCCGCGTCGCTGAAGCATTTCACCACTTCCATCTGAAAAACAAGATGAAATAAGCGTCAGGCCCACGCGAAGTTTCAGAAGAGCCAGTACCTGAACAGACAAACGTGCAGAAAATTTTATCAAGTCCTCGTCAGTCAGCTTTTCAGATGGACTCTTTCCACGAGAAGCCTTTGCCGCCGACTTCACGTTCTCAATCGCTTGCTGACGAGCAAGGAGCCCTTCCTCAAAATGACCCTGTCATTCAAATAAGCTCACAATCATTCACAAACCATTGATGAAGAAGCGTACCTTAGCACGCTCAAGATTTCGAAGAGCTTGGTCTTGTGTTGCAGAGTTTAAAAAGAGCTGGATGCAGCACAAACCGGCTGCAATGTAGTCTTTCTTCAAAACCTGCACAACCATCCCCCTTAGTTTAAGTTCAACCATGCAGGAAACCGGTACCTGGAACCGGTAAAGATGGTTGAAATGCCGGTGTGTCTCGAAATAAAAGCATATGCGAGTCAGTGCTGCAAATGTATGTTGCGAAACTTGAGTATCTTCGCTGCTAGCAGGAGAAATCCGAGTCTCTATCACATGCTCCAAAATCGGGATAGCTCCGTATCCAACACATAAGTCACATAAATCGTCCACTGTTCCATATTCTGTTGTCAAGCTTGTGACGCTTCCAGATGATAAGTTTGCAGGAATTGGAGGAAGAGTACCCACAGGGAAGAATAGCGAACAAGCTTCACGATAACGACCATGTCGAAACATGAAGCCAAGAAGCAGCGAACGACCATACTGCCCAACCAGCCACAGTTGATTATCTACCAGCTGGTAAATCGAAATAGTTACCTCGTCCAAGTAGTACTTGCATTCCTCGAAACGGACATTATCCAAGTTGCTCAAAGGAACCGAAATCTCGTCCGCATTAAAATAAGAAAGTCGCTCTGACGCCTCTTCCGTAGTCCTCCTGGATCGATCAGCTCTTGTGAATGTTGGTATGTAAAGAACGTTCAAATATGAGTCTGCGGAAAGCGAGTCATCCGATGAGCTTGAAGCGCTCTTCGCCATGTGAACGTACCTATAGCAGGCAAACAGGTTAACAAAGTCGAGAGAGAATGACAACATACAGAGAACGTGCAGCATGGACATCAGCAGCAGGGCATGCCTCCACATTGTCAACTATTCTCTGAACAATCTTGGATGAATCTTCCTTGTATAATTGAAATGCTTTCCTGTAAGTTGCCAGGTTAGAGTGATAAGATGGTCAAACAAAAAGATACTTGCTTGAACTTTAGCCTGGCTTGCGCATAATGTTCTATCCGAAGTAGTGCGTAACCCCATGCTTCCCAAACCGGAAAAACGTCGATCTGAACAGTAGTATTGGTCTCACACAAAGCTAGCAGCACCGAGAAATAGTTACCTTGCATTTCGTGCATGTGTATACGGCCATACCATATCGCTCCTCCTGGATCAAACGGTCACGAAGGAGAAGCGCCGAGGTTTCGTCTGCCACATCGCCTACAGAGGCAGTGACACCAGAACCGAGTAAAAAGTGTAGCAGTTCCACCCGGTTTAACCATATGTCAGCTTCTGACAATAGTTTCGTGAGACTGGTCGCAGACTGACTGTCAGTACCGGACTCTGAAACAGTATCTGGACTTTCCTGGCTCGGTGCTTCTTTGTTGCCCAAGAGTTTATGAAGCTGAGTTCTAGCATCCAGTAGTACCTGCAAAAAGGATTGGCGAAGAAGAAACAAGCCAAGAAAGTGGTACCTGGACAAAAGTTCCCGCTGCATGAAATGCTCTTTCAATTGCTTCCGAGCTCGCTCCAGCTGGTAAACAGTCTGCACTGAGAATACTCTGGACTTGAGAAACGGCCAGTTCAACCGCAGACTTGGCAGCACTTGCTTGATCAAAACAAAGAGACAGAAGTGCCTGCACAGAACGCTAGTGAGAATAAAAACAAAACAAAACAACCAGCGATAGCTACCTTGAACAAGACAAAACTAGGTGCACTGTCGTACTTATGAGAGCTACGAACGGCTTCGTCTTTGACAGGATCACCAGAGAGAACTCCATCTGTCATAGTTAGAGGTGCAAGCTTCTCATAACCTTCCGGTCCGAGTCCAATTGGTCTATCCTCCTGATACCCAGCCATAGCTTCCCAAGCGGCCTTCTGTGATGGTGGAAGGGTACTTTTTCTCTTTCGGGTACCATCGATTTTATTCCTCGCGTCTCTCGGTGTCCAGGTGAATCTTCGGTTATTGCCATTTTTGTTCCCAGAGGCCGGCTTGATTGGAAGATAATGTGTTTGCCGTTCGGGAGATGCAGGTGCAACATATACAGCTTTTGAAGCGTATGTGATTATGAGTTTGTCATTGCGCAACGATGGAAAAGCATTCAAAAGCTGCAAAAACTCGATATAGTTATAACCAAAATACAGCCAAAAAATTATTGGATACCTGTGACGCTGCCTGGAATTGCTTCCACATAAGGAGTGTCTCTAGTATAAGCTGCGGATGTTCGTGTAAGCCTACGCATCGTTGTTGCCAAGGTAAGGGAAGTGCACCAAGCATTTTGAGGCCCAATGCCAGTCGATCCATCCTGTCGTGCTCTTCTTCCGAGAGAACGCCAATCTGCCGTTTCAAAAGAAAGTGTACCTGCATGCGGTAGTTTAATTTTAATAGTGTAAGAAGGTTCAAGTCAACAAAATGTTACCAGAAGCTGTTTAGAATGCAAATTTGGTAGCTGCTCCATCGCAGCCATTGCAACCGGCAATGCGTCCTCGGGGTTGTTCAGTGAACCGAGAAACCTGATAGCCTCAGCTGGACCTCCACCACTTATGGGATCTGCTGTAAGTAGCTTCACTAGCTGCCGACCTTGGAGCTCCCTCCGTAAGTCATCTGAAAGTTTGAAGGACTCAGCAATATCTAGCGCTGCAGTAACAGCTCCTTTGCCAGCAAGCCTCAAAGCTAGGCCCTCGGGATCTCTATCACATAAGGACTCAACCTGAAGGCAAGACAGTCATAACAAGACGCGAAGTATAATGTCGCAAACCTCTTGCCAGTTCTCAAACTTGACGTCTTCTCGCAATATTTGGCGGTACTGTTGCAGATGCTTTTTAACCCGAATGACCTTTGCAAGACTAGCATTTAGACACAACGTTGATAGAATAACCCGAAACTGCTAATACCTCTTCATAAAGAACATCATCAGTGGGCAAATGGCAGCTACACATGGTCAACACGTCGATAGCCGCATCCAGCTCCCAACGATGCAAGTACCTAAACGCCAAGCCGGCGTTTCAGATATACAACACAAATTACATGCCTTACTTGAGAGCAAGCGTCGCTGCTAGGCGTTTGTCCTTCAGACGTATACAGTATTGCCAGCTACTGTTCCACAAGTTATGGTGGAGGCTCAAATGACTAGAGCTCGGAACGCTATCTTCACCTCTTTCGATAAGAAGTTGCAAGAGTTTGTCCGGAGCTCCAGCTTTTAGCCATCGATCGGCAAAAGTTAACGCGTCTACAAGCTTCCCATTCTTGATTAAGCTTTGGAAGAAACAGAAAGGAGAAAAGACATGTCAAAGAAAAGTATAAATAAACGCTTACCTCTCCACAGCCTCGTGATATGGATATTCATCTTCCCAAACGTGATTAGCAGGAATAGATTGTTCTTTGATGACAGCACCTTCAG